TCGTGGTCCGGTAGTGACATAATCAGACACCACCGGAGATCGCTGTTATAATTCATCTTCGAATATCTATAGTTAGCGTCTTGGACCCGTTTTTCGTTCTCCCAGCAGCAGTAGTTACGCTCAACGCAAAGCTTAACACACAACGGCTTCACATGAGCGTCGTTCACATTGGCACACTGCAACCCGTTCTCGCACTTTCTTACGGTCAATATTGACTTATTAAATACGTGCATATGTGACATACTAATTTATTGTGACTATTTTAGTTTACCTTGAAAAGCTTCACAGAAAACACCGACCTCACCTAACCTATTATAGGTAAGGTTTAAGTTAATTGTAATTACGAAGCAATAAGATGCTTATCTTAACATACTAAGAAGGTTAGGTGAGGTCGGTGTTTTCTATGAAGCTTTTCAAGGTAACTAAATAGTCACAATAAATTATTATGTCCCATATGTACGTATTTAATAAGTCAATATTGACTATACTAAAGTGCGAAAACGGGTTGCACACTGCTTCGGTCCTATACACTTGCTGCCTATATCTTGCTCGTGTTGAAAACCTCACTTCACCGGCACATTTGTGCGGTAAACGTCGCCGCTACACAATTACTTCTACTGCAACACTGAACTATACCAGGGGCCAGATTCACGAAAGCACTTATGAACGTGTACATCTTTCCTCACTCTTTGACGGCTTTGTTTACATTTATTAAACAGTTTACAAGCATGAAAACTTCCCATTAAACTGTTGTTATTGTTATAAACAGCCTCCTGGTGCTTCAGAGCTCATTAACTGTTTAATAATTGGAAATAAAGCTGCCAAAGACTGAGAAAAGATGTACAGGTTCGTAAGTGCTTGCGTAAGTGCTTTCGTGAATTTGGCCCCTGAACTATGTTTAACACATCTCTAACCCTGTCCATGGAGGACAGAAGAAAATGTATATATGCTGGTTAGCATTGTAAATGTGTGGCCACGTCTGTGATCCTTACAACACTTGTAGAGGGTACATCTACTTGAATACTTCTACAGAGGTGCATGTACTACCGGGGTGGGTGCATGTACTACCGGGGTGGGTGCATGTACTACCGGGGTGGGTGCATGTACTACCGGGGTGGGTGCATGAACTACCGGGGTGGGTGTATGTACTCACCGGGGTGGGTGTAATTACTACACCGGGGTGGGTGCATGTACTACCGGGGTGGTGCATGTACTACCGGGGTGGGTGCATGTACTACCGGGGTGGGTGCATGTACTACCGGGGTGGGTGCATGTACTACCGGGGTGGGTGCATGTACTACCGGGGTGGGTGCATGTACTACCGGGGTGGGTGCATGTACTACCGGGGTGGGTGTATGTTACTACCGGGGTGGGTGCATGTACTACCGGGGTGGGTGCATGTACTACCGGGGTGGGTGCATGTACTACCGGGGTGGGTGTATGTACTACCGGGGTGGGTGCATGTACTACCGGGTGGGTGCATGTACTACCGGGGTGGTGTATGTACTACCGGGGTGGGTGCATGTACTACCGGGGTGGGTGTATGTACTCATCTTCTACAGCATAAATTTTACGAGTAGCACTCGAGCGAAGCTGAGATCAAGATTTGTAAAGAATTGAAGCTTAGTATCTGAAGTATCAAGATAATCATAAGATGATTTGATCCGAGAGAGGGCGGCCGGCGCGGCCCGGGGCTCCTGCCCGCAAAAACTGTTCACCTGGCCAGCGCCTGTCTAGACGCTGCTGACGGCGGTCCGTGCAGCCCTTACGTGCTGCTGACGGCGGTCCGTGCAGCCCTTACGTGCTGCTGACGGCGGTCCGTGCTGCCCTTACGTGCTGCTGACGGCGGTCCGTGCCGCCCTTACGTGCTGCTGACGGCGGTCCGTGCAGCCGTTACGTGCTGCTGAAAGCGGTCCGTGCAGCCCTTACGTGCTCCTGAAAGCGGTCCGTGCAGCCCTTACGTGCTGCTGACGGCGGTCCGTGCAGCCCTTACGTGCTGCTGACGGCGGTCCGTGCAGCCCTTACGTGCTGCTGACGGCGGTCAAGCAGCAGCGTCAGGCAGCGGCGTGAAGCAGCAGATATACGAGGTCAAGAAGCCAATACACGAGGTCAAGGAGCAGATATACGAGGTCAAGAAGCCGATACACGAGGTCAAGGAGCAGATACACGAGGTTAAGAAGCCAATACACGAGGTCAAGGAGCAGATACACGAGGTCAAGAAGCCAATACACGAGGTCAAGGAGCAGATATTCGAGGTCAAGAAGCCGATATACGAGGTCAAGGAGCAGATACACGAGGTCAAGAAGCCAATACACGAGGTCAAGGAGCAGATATACGAGGTCAAGAAGCCGATACACGAGGTCAAGGAGCGGGTACATTATGACCGCGTGAAGGTCCGACCACTTGAACCATCGAGGATCGAACGGCAACCCTGCGGTAACTCGTCCACCACCAACGGCTGCAACATGCCACTGGAAGTGTCACACAGGAATACCAGCGGGAGAGGGACGGCCACCTGGGCCGCTCTGCCCCTGCCAGGGACGGCCACCTGGGCCGCTCTGCCCCTGCCAGGGACGGCCACCTGGGCCGCTCTGCCCCTGCCAGGGACGGCCACCTGGGCCGCTCTGCCCCTGCCAGGTACGGCCACCTGGGCCGCTCTGCCCCTGCCAGGGACGGTCACCTGGGCCGCTCTGCCCCTGCCAGGGACGGCCACCTGGGCCGCTCTGCCCCTGCCAGGGACAACCACGTGTCTGGAGACTCATATTTACGATGGGTCGGGTGCTAAATCCTCCTCCAGGCATCTCCACGCCCCCCTCCCATGCTGTTTCTTAAACAATAAATGAAAATAATTAATCACTTGGAGAAGAGTGGGCCGAGACAGGTCTGGCGTGGGCCGAGACAGGTCTGGCGTGGGCCGAGACAGGTCTGGCGTGGGCCGAGACAGGTCGATGGCGTGGGCCGAGACAGGTCTGGCGTGGGCCGAGACAGACTATAGCAGCCCGCGGCGGATCTGTCTATGCTAATACCAGCCAGCACCGCCCCGGCGCCCAGGTAATGATAGTGAGCCGCCCCCTGGGACGCCGCCACTCCTGACATGTTAGGCGGGCCGTGGTACGTGGCTCTGGTCAGCACCCACGCCGGATGGGACGAGGCGAGGCGAGGGAGTCATTGTGGCAGGGCGAGGCGAACACCACGAACTATTCATACGTCGAGTCTGGCACTATATCAATCAATTACCACTACTGTGGACGCTGATTTGTGTGTGGAGGGGGGGTGGGGTGGGGGGGGGGTGGTTGTCGGGGCAGGAATCAGCCCCCTACCGTCCAGGGGGCAGCTTGGGTAGGCTTGAGCGAATTCAGTAGCTCCCTAACCTTTACCTTCGTTCATCAACTTATATAACCAACTGGTCTTCAAAAATGCCAGTCGCCACTTTCACCTGAATTCCAGCGAGGTGGTCTTCCGAGGGACCCTCAGTAACCCCTGTGGGGGCCCTCAGTAACCCCTGTTGGGGCCTTCAGTAACCCCTGTGGGGGCCCTCAGTAACCCCTGTGGGGGCCTTCAGTAACCCCTGTGGGGGCCTTCAGTAACCCCTGTGGGGGCCCTCAGTAACCCCTGTGGGGGCCCTCAGTAACCCCTGTGGGGAGCCCTCAGTAACCCCTGTGGGGGGGCCCTCAGAAACCCCTGTGGGGGCCCTCAGAAACCCCGAGGGGGCCCTCAGTAACCCCTGTGGGGGCCCTCAGAAACCCCTGTGGAGCCCTCAGTAACCCTTTGGGGGGGGCCCTCAGTAACCCCTGTGGGGGCCCTCAGTAACCCCTGTGGGGGCCCTCAGTAACCCCTGTGGGGGGCCCTCAGTAACCCCTGTGGGGGGGCCCTCAGAAACCCCTGTGGGGGCCCTCAGAAACCCCGAGGGGGCCCTCAGTAACCCCTGTGGGGGCCCTCAGTAACCCCTGTTGGGACCCTCTCATAACCCCTGTGGGGGCCCTCAGAAACCCCTGTGGAGGCCCTCAGTAACCCCTGTGGGGGCCCTCAGTAACCCCTGTGGGGGCCCTCAGTAACCCCTGTGGGGGCCCTCAGTAACCCCTGTGGGGGCCCTCAGTAACCCCTGTGGGGGCCCTCAGTAACCCCTGTGGGGGCCCTCAGTCTAGGGTGTGCTAAAACAATCGGGTATAAGAGGGGGTTATTGAAGGCTGAGGTAATTACAGAGTTGGCGTGATGAAGAGCCGGTGTTTAGACCAGGCCTCGCTACTGATCCCCCAGCAAGATCATGCCTCACAACCAAGTATTTATTGGCCAGTACTGGGAAGGCAGGTAGAGGAGGCGGGGCGGCTCTGGCCCCCTGGCCCCCACCGCCACCGCCGGCTCTGGCCCCCTGGCCCCCACCGCCACCGCCGGCTCTGGCCCCCTAGCCCCCTCCGCCACCGCCGGCTCTGGCCCCCTGGCCCCCACCGCCGGCTCTGGCCCCCTGGCCCCACCCGCCACCCGCCGGCTCTGGCCCCCTGGCCCCCACCGCCGGCTCTGGCCCCCTGGCCCCCACCGCCACCGCCGGCTCTGGCCCCCTGGCCCCCTCCGCCACCGCCGGCTCTGGCCACGATCTGCGCAAATCACCACGGATTTAAACCCGGGCCATTTAAGGGAGGGATGATAAAAGAAGCCCTGGAGCGGAATGGAAGATTAATGGTTCTCGAGTGTGTGAGCAGCGAAGCCTCGCGGCCCTCCTACACTCAGCCGGGGATTGTGATATTTGTCCAGGTCCGGGGATGCCAGGCCTATCATAACTTCCAAGGAAGATGCAGAGACTATACCTTGGCATCCATATCCAGTTGCTTAACTATTTAACATTAATTTTTTGGTCAAAATTGGGAGGTGCAGATCTGAAGGAACAGAGGAACACCAGACGCAGACCCACACAGTCTCAACATGTTCACACTTTCACCAATTTACCAATTTCACAGAAACATTGATGTTTGTATGAAAGATTCTCTTAAAACTCCGGAACTGCGTCAAAATCGCTGGAAAACACTCTCGTTAACATAACTGAGAAAGCCGGATAGAGTTCGAGCCCACGAGGGTGACCCCATGAGGGTGACTGGAGGGCGACCCCACGAGGGTGACGGGAGGACGACCCCCACGAGGGTGACGGGAGGGCGACCCCACGAGGGTGACGGGAGGACGACCCCACGAGGGTGACGGGAGGACGACCCCACGAGGGTGACGGGAGGACGACCCCCACGAGGGTAACCCCATGAGGGTGACCCCACGAGGGTGACCCCATGAGGGTGACGGTAGGACGACCCCACGAGGGTGACCCCATGAGGGTGACGGGAGGACGACCCCACGAGGGTGACCCCATGAGGGTGACGGGAGGGCGACCCCACGAGGGTGACGGGAGGGCGACCCCACGAGGGTGACGGGAGGGCGACCCCACGAGGGTGACCCCATGAGGGTGACGGGAGGGCGACCCCACGAGGGTGACGGGAGGGCAACCCCACGAGGGTGACGGGAGGGCGACCCCACGAGGGTGACGGGAGGACGACGACCCCGAGGGTGACGGGAGGGCGACCCCACGAGGGTGACGGGAGGACGACCCCCCCGAGGGTGACGGGAGGGCCACCCCACGAGGGTGACGGGAGGGCGACCCCACGAGGGTGACGGGAGGGCGACCCCACGAGGGTGACGGGAGGACGACCCCACGAGGGTGACGGGAGGGCAACCCCACGAGGGTGACGGGAGGGCGACCCCATGAGGGTGACGGGAGGGCGACCCCACGAGGTGTACGGGGAGGACGACCCCACGAGGGTGACGGGAGGGCAACCCCACGAGGGTGACGGGAGGGCGAACCCCATGAGGGTGACGGGAGGGCAACCCCACGAGGGTGACGGGAGGGCGACCCCACGAGGGTGACGGGAGGACGACCCCACGAGGGGGCGGGAGGGGCAACCCCACGAGGGTGACGGGAGGGCGACCCCATGAGGGTGACGGGAGGGCGACCCCACGAGGGTGACGGGAGGGCGACCCCACGAGGGTGACGGGAGGACGACCCCACGAGGGTGACGGAAGAAGGCACCCTGGGACCCACCCGTCATTCCTCACAATATAAGAGCAGAAGAATATAAACATTAGAGGGGTCCTCGCAGCTTGGCGGTCCCTATACGTCCACCCTCTCTCTCTCTCTCTCTCCCAGATGCCTATCCAGTCTATCCTTGAGACCTGTTCAATCCTTCGCCTCAGTAATGCTAACTGGCAGCCCAGTCGACTTATCCACAACCCCTATTTCCAATTCAATACATCTATGCGGCTCCTATAACGAAATGTCATTGTACCTATTGTTGTGGGTTCTGACCTCTTTCGACAGCTTCAAAACCTCGGTCATATCCACCTTTATTCCGCTAACCTACTTGAAAACCACGATTATATCGCCGTTGTTCTGCGTCTCTGGCGAGCGCAGACCCCAGACACTTCAGTCTTGGCTTGACAGGAAAGGTCCCGGGTACCAAGCCTCGTCATCCTTCTCGCAGTTGCCTGCAGGAGCGTATGTGTGGCGCGGCGACGAGAGCTGCCCAGTAGTGCAAGTGGAGCCTCGCCACTCACCTGTACTGGATGTGGCCCGAGGGGTAAGGCTCAGGCTTCTATTGCCTGATAATCAGGGTGAATGAAACTCTGCACATTTCTTTCTGCCTCGGCCGGGAATCGAACCCTGGCTCTTAGGACTACGGCCCTCGAATGCTGTCCACTCAGTCGCAAAGGTCCCCGCGTGTGCATGCGCTGCCTTCACTGTGATCGTGGGCGAGAGGACACCACCAGACGGTAACAATAGTCCTCTACTTACCCATTAATACATTTAGAAAACTCTGGACTACCGGCGTCCATGTATGATACACGGTAACCTCTCCCTGGCCATGAACCCATCACGTCCAGCAGGCGTTGCACACTGCCCACAAACGCAAAATTCTGTTCCCGCCCTCCTCGTCGCAGACGGGACCCCGCCACGGGCAATCCTGCGAGTAATCCGCGGATTTCCTCGCCTTCCGACCACAAAAAACGGGCTATACTGTTATGGCGTGTTACGTCATGAGGCGAGAGGTCCAAGTGAGGCCCCATACTCATTACCCGAGTGGACTGGGCTGTGATCAGCCCTGAAGCACCGTCATAATAACTACCCTCGAGGGGTTATAATGCACTACCCATCTCGCTGTATATAGTGGCGCTCAGTAGCGGTGGGCGACTGACGTGCTCCAGAAGGTGGACACCAAGTGAGGGGTAACTGCACTGGGTTTGTTTACCTCTTTCTACACAGGTGGGTACAGGAAAAACACGACTTATGACTCGTGTTATGAGAGAGCTTCTCCACCCTGGGGGAGAGCTTACCTGAAACCTCCCTGGAGGGTATACCACCCTGGGGGAACAACAAGGGTGACTCCCCGTCAGTAGGGGAAGGGGGGGGGGACTGTGAGAGATGGAATTAGAGACGCGCTACAGGAGGTAAATTGTAGCCAGACCCTGGTGGGTGTCGCCGCCCTCACCAGGTGATGTAGGAAGAACAAGTTGGTGTTGGAAGGGGAGGGGAGCTGGTGTTGGAGGGGAGAGGGGAGCTGATGTTGGAGGGGGGAGGGGGGAGGTTGTTGGAGAATGGAGAGGGGGAGATATTGTTGGAGGGGGAGAGGGGAGGTGGTGTTGGACGGGGAGAGGGGGAGGGGGGGAGGTGGTGTTTTGAGGGGAGAGGGGGTGACACGCTGGCATAGAAGAGGGAACAAGCAGGTGTTGATGGGAACCACCTCTCCCCCACTAGTGCCTCCTGGGGACCATCTTTTCTAACTACCATACAAGGAAGCCCCCCCCCCTCTTTTTCTCTCTTGCTGGAGAGCCGGGCTCCCCTTGTCTAACACCCCCCCCCCCCACCCCGGTGTAATCGGTCCTTCATCTGTTCTTCGCTCTACTCTCCTGAATGCTGGACAAGTGAAGGA